TGAGTCGCTCGATGCACGCAATTTCATACTCCTCTTCTCCCTGTTCCTCCCTCGCACGAGTTCATCGAATACTCGTGTTTTCGTAAATCGATTTTAATAACACTGAGTCGCTCGATGCACGCAATTTATTAAGCATACGTGTGTGTGTGTGTGTATATATATATATATATATATATATTTCTCTTGGTCGTTTAAGCTCACAGTCGGGCACAGGCACTGACCGCCTATCTGACCTAGGCCTTTTTCAATAATAGGTTACGTATATATGTGTATAAAGAATGACGCAATTGATCGTTAGCACAGAGCGCAGAACCGTAAAAAAATGTTCCTTTCAGATCCACCTAGGTATACACCATGGTATATATGTACAATGATTTCCTCACGCGTTATGTACGGCGGAGATGAAAATGTATAAGAAAGAAAGATTGGCGACAGAGCGGTAGAAGCGCAAATAGGATTGCGCCAAGGAGTGTAAAGAGATGCAAGCCCTATACAAGAGCTTCGGCATGATAGTGATGATAGTGATGATGAATGTGCTCGTGAACGTGTCTACGGCCGGCAGCAGCAGCAGCGGCTGCCGTTCCTTGTGAGAATTCACGTTCCAGCCAGCGAACGACCTGCGCCATGGCTCTGGCCTGGTCCTGTTCTCTTGTTGCGTGTTTGAGCTGGTGCTTCTTGGCTCCCTTGCCGCTCTGCTGGGACTGGACGTGCTGGCTGTTCTCGGTGCGTTGCTGCTGATTGTTCGTGCCATTCGAGGCTCGCTCGACGTTTGCCGTCGGCTGAGGATTATCATTGGCCATGGGAGTGACTACGTTCTGGGTGGGTGGCGGGTGCGCTAAGCGAGGTGGTACGCGAGGTGGTTGAGGATGATGATGATTGCGCATCGGATGAGTCGGTGTGTTCGTAGGAGGAGCTAGATGTCCACGTGGCTTGCGAACGTTCCCTCGGGATTTCCCGGGTACTTTAGGCAACGAGGAGGGATGATGATGTGTGTTTTCCCGTACTGGTTTGTGGTAGGTCGTTGGATGTCTTACTGCCGGCGGTGGTCTGCACCTTTGGACGCAGGGACTCGAAGGTTCCGTGTAGGGGCTTCTAAGAGGAATGCGTGGCTGCTCGGTCTGATGTCGTTTCCTGGAACGGAAGGGGCCAAGGGCTTCTTTAGAGATCGGAACCAGACGGCAAGCTAGGCTGGGTAGTGCCCGTGATACGTTGTAACGTTAAATGGTATAATCAGCGCTCGGTGAAGTGCCGATAAATAAACGCGATCTGGATCCAACCAGTCTCAAAGTTACGAGAGAGAGAGCTCACCTAGATGCGTGAAAACTGAGATTATTCTTTTCCATGTTAGCCTGGATGATTTCGAGCAGCTGCTGCCTCTGCATGGCCCCGCTGCGCTTACGCTGGTTCGTCACAAGGGGTGTGAGAGGTGTCAAGGGTGTAAGGGATGGAGTAGCGTCGCTGTCGTCGCTCACGTCACCCTCTGAGCTGTTCGAGTAGGGCGCCTGAAGATGCGGCACCGGTCCTACCCTCCTCCTCAATTCCTCCTGCTTCGACTGACTCGTCGGCACGTTCTCAGCATCGTCCTCGCTGTGGCTGTCGGCCGCGTGCTCCGACTGACAAGACAAACCGGTATCATCATCGGCCCTCCTTATAACTCCGTGATATCCACTACTTTGTAACTCAACTCCCTCTATGGTTTCGCTGTGCGAACTAGCATAGAATCAGAGTATAAGCCAGTCTCAAGACCCAATTGTAAGCTAGGAAACAGCTTGAGCAATGTGATCTCGTTAATGCCAACCAGGTAAACGTTAATGACTTTTTACTCGCAGATAAATTAACACTTGTCGCTTACGTGATTCAGCACTCATAAACTTTACCCAACTCTCTTGATTACCTTACAGCGATGCCGTGGGGCTCGTCTTCGCCGTGGAAGACGTCGCGACGCGTGAGTCCCGTGGGTTCCGTGCGTCCCGTGGCTACAGGACGTGACGTGCTTCACGTGGCAGCAAGAGGGCGAATTCGAAGCCTGGCTCGGTCCTTGATTCGGGGGATTTGTTTGAGGCGTTGCGTGAGCCTGAGTGGCGCGCTGGTCAGGAGATACGGTCAGCTTGACTTTAATCGTTTTACTGCCGCAGGGCGGCACTTGAATGGAGGCACCCAGCGTGTCGTAGATCGTGGTGACCAGCCCGGCTATATCATCCTTCGTTATCTTCCCATGACCATCAAAGTCGTAGAGGGTAAAAGAAAACTCCTGTCTCCGTCTATCGCCTTCAGCCACCGAGACGTCGCATTCGAATTCCTGTGGGAAAAAATAAAAATTATCATTACCGATTCCCTCACAAGATCCTCCGGTAGCCCCTCTGACGTCGACTCTGTGCCAAATTAAATTGGCACCTCGAAGACAATTGTTTTCGCGAGCAACGGTAGGTAAAAACAAAGGGACGTGGGAAAAATAAAGAATTATAATAAAATTACCTCGAAACTGAGTTGCCTGGTAGCATTTGAATTTGCCTGCTCGTCGTTGGCAGCCGGTGGCGTCGGACTGTTTGGAGTATTGAGTGTGACTGGCGATTCCGGCGGTGTAAGGAGAGGCGGCGGCGGCGGTGGTGAACTGTTACAAGGCGTCGCGACGCTTGCCAAAAGTTCCTCGGCATCGCTACCCTCTGCCCCACCTCCGACAACTGCAATATAACGATAAATAAATGAGTGTTATAAAACGTAGCAAGGTCCTCGGTTAAGCTTGTCAAAATTAACAGGTCATTCCCCGTCTCGGAGGTCGCGTTAACCGTAGGCACGAGGATCATCAAGATCGAGGTCTGGGTCAGACACAATAAGTTCACTAGTGATAATCATTGTTAAGGCACGTTGACACGATAAAGGTAATCTGTGATGCCAGTCGTATTATCTGTGTATACAGGAAGGTGCAGAGGTAAACGATCAACCTGTTTATTGAGAGCGTTGCCCAGATATGTTGACTCGATTTTTTTTTCTTTTTTCTTTCAATGACGTCCAACTGTATACATAGCTCAGTCGGTATAGTAGCTACGAGACTGAAGTCTGGTGCCTCAATGGTATGTATATATATAGACTATGGTTTCTAGCGTACGAGAGAAGTTCCCGTATGCCAGCACTGTACCATTTCCACTGTTTACGGTGATCCGACGGGACTACGAGTATTTGCACTTTGTCGAGTGGGACGAGAGCAGGAGTATCGCGATATTCGCAAACTTTTAGTACAGAGTCTAATGGGGTATGGGATTCTAATGGAACGAGGGGACGAGCCACTCGACGTTACAATGAGTAGGAGTAAAAGCTTGGAAACGTCATCCTTTTGTACGTTACAATGACGGAGAGTTGGCTGGCTTTCGTAATATAAAAAGAGAGAGAGAGAGAGAGAGAGAGAGAGAGAGAGAGAGAATAGGAAAAAATAAAATCGTCTTGAATTTGGCATATCCGACGCTATAACGTTAACCAGGGAAAACGAATAGCTCCTCGACTTCTCGTAGCCGCGTCATTAATAAAGTGGCGGCCCGCGCGGAATGCTTTTGCGATAAAAATAAAATAAACAATCTTTCCTACTTGAGAAAACTGGTATACGACGGCGTTGAACGTCAAACAGACGGAAGTCAGTCTAGATTTTGTTTTTTTTATAAATGTTATCTAGCTGCGTTGTACTTACCGATTAAAAGTATGTGGAGGCTTGTGTGTTTTTGCGTTTATAGGTATTACGTGTCTTTATATATATAGTATTACTGATATCGAATGTGTTACCCTAGTATATCGAACGGGTACTACTAGCTCGGGTATATTAAGTGTAACTATGTGGATACCGTTGGAGAGGTTTTACGCTCGAGAGAACCGAGTTGCGTTTGGCCTCTAGTGCGATGCGGACGTAATGGAACATTGCCGATAGCCGTGTGCACATGTCTGCCATTCGTCACAGATGCATTACGCTGTCTCGAGGCCCCCTCAGTCTGTCCAAGGAGATTACGTGGATGACGTATACGAAGCTAGAGCGCGCGTGAGTCTACAATTTTGAGGAGTTCGAGCTATGAAAAAGAAAGTCAGTAACTGGATTTCGTAAGGTAAGTTTTGCGTATACAAATAAAGCATAAATATCCACGAAACTTTGGTTAGGGCGCTCGATAGAAATTTTCGCGATTAAATATCACGGAGAAAGAAGCACAAGGAGTAACTGCTGTACCGTAATGAAATATATCGTGAGCCGTAGCCGTGGATGCAGTTAACTCCGGTAAAATGTACTTGGGCTTTCGTGGCCCTTTCATCCTGCCGAGTGGAGAGCTAAGCTGCCGAGCGACCGTGCCGAGTCCCGGGTTTAGTAGTTTTAGATTGTGGAACGAGCGATCTAGGTATTTTCCTAGAAGCAAAGCAGCCAACGGTCGTCGGTCGACAGTGGCGTCGGCACTGGCATCGGTGCCCTTCTCCTCCCTCTGGTCGCTATTATTGTTGGCTTCCAGGAAGAGAGACCCAACCGAACGTCTCTCTAGTTCTCAGTCTTTATGTTTCTCTCTCTTTTTATTTCCCTCTCTATCCTACTCCTCTTACTCGTACGAACGTATACACTCTCAGTGAGAGACTTGCCGTCTCCCCGAAACTCGTATATACCTTCTCCCATTTCTGCTGTGCTCTAACGTCGTATTTTCCTATCCGTGCTGTTTGCATTTTTCTTAGGAGACTAACCTAACCTAACTACCGTCGACCAACCCCTGGAGAGAGGACGCGCCCGTACCAGGATCGTAGTAATATAATAAAACTCTAGGGAATTTTCTTGGAATGGTAAAACTATTAACCTCCTTCCACTTCACTCTTCTTGTTACGTCATAACAGAAAATTTTTTAAATTTTACTGAGATATATAGCTCACGCTAGAAATACTAAGTAACTTGACAGCCGGACAAGTCGTTTAGTTACTTTAAGTTTTGAGTGTACGGTAAAGAGAGAGAACGTGAGTGAGTGACAATCGTGGAAATGGGAGAATGGTGCAGCGACGAGGGGGAGAAAAAATATATATAAAAAATGGAGGGTTGAGAAGAGAGAAACGAATCCATCGGTCCTATTTCTATTCATTTTGAAAAGGTCGAGGTTCACGGGCGGACAATACAGCCCTGATCGAACCTTCTGGCAGAGACGGACCGTAGAATAGGGAGAAGTTTCGTTCGTCAGGCCGTATTGGGGTGGTTTTTGTGCAGGACGAGGACCACCCCTAGCGTTTATGGGGAATCGAGACGAAACGTGCCGTCGACGAGACAGAAGTATCTTCCGACTGGTGCGTGCGAGAGGGACAGAAGGAACGCGGTACAGCCCAAGGCTCGTCCTTGTTTGTCGGACCATTTTGAAAGGGCCGAAACGTCGAGGGATTTTTCCAAATCGATGCGGCGGCGGTCCCTATGGGGCGGGCCAGGCGCGGAATGCCAGAAGCTACTATATACTCCTCTCTTAAACCACAATAGTACTTCAGAAATAGTATGCGCCATATATATATATATATGTATATATACATACAGATAAAGCCAAAGAACAACCAAAGTCTACATAGAGACAGTGTGTCATGCATGTCCGATAAATCGTAAACCGATTCCTATCTCGATCTCACTGGAATCGCCCCGTTGCATGCCGGTATGGAATTTAGAATTAAAAAAATTATTTTTCTCACTAAGCGATTCCGCATGGCACTGGTTCAGGATAATGTCCCAGGGGGTATCGAAATACTTCTATGCTATTGAAATGCGAGGCCGTGACTTTATAAAAAGCGAGCAAAAACAAAAACTCTCTACCCGTGGCACCATCCTTTGAAGATATCAAAGTAATGATAGGAGCTTTGGCTACGAATGCCGGAATAAAAGTCCCGGCGCTCCGGAGCAAAAAGGGGGACTTTAAGGGAGGGACTGTCGCTTTGATCCGGGTTCGGCTTTTAACGGCTCTAATGGCTCCCGACGATGTGCCGTTAAGGTAACAACGTTGCTTTCATATCCAGCTGTCTTGAAGCACCGACAAAAGCCTCTGGTTGCCCGTGTGTCAAGGCGGCGAATACTTTTTCATCTTTCGCTGTCCAAGAGAGGCGAGAGTCCACCGACAAAGAGAATCCCGCCTACCGATGTCCTCCCGAGGACCCGGATCTCTCTATGACGCAGATGCATATACATACACCAAAATCCCAAAGGGATGCATTTCCAATTTTCGACTGGACACCAATTTTTTTTTTTTTTCTTTTTTTTTCATCGCCTAGTCAAAAGCTCCTCGTACCAACTGACACTCGGAGTTGATGAATTTTTTGAATTTAAAAAAAATACCCATAACCCTATGCCGGGTCCTAGAGAAATATACTATGACGAAGCACGCTATAGATATACCGATGGTATACTTTCATACACATTATTATCTGCCGCATGAATAACCAAGCAATCTCACGCGCTATGTGTGTATATTATGCATACATAAGGAAAACGCGTGCGCCACGCGATTCTCAACGTGGCGTCCCTAGTTTTCATTCATACGCGTCATTCTTTATCTTTCGCGTTGGGGGAACAACCCCTTGCAAGGGCATACAGCGACCCAAACAACAGCGCCACAGCTCATTGACTATCCTACGGTAACTGGCTTTATGCCGAGACTGAAGTAACTTACACCGCAGCGCCAGCTATGTAATGTATCTTGAAATCTTACCGGTCGCACTTTTAAAGAAGACAGTGACGCTCAAACGTAGCAGCGAGCCCGGATCCTTTATTGCTAGTAACAATTAATGAGAATTCGAGGTGAAAACGCGTGGCTCCAATAATTATTCGTAAAGCAATCATTGGTTTTGAATCTGAAAACTCAGAACGTCCAAACGCGGCATGGCCGACATAAAATAATAAATACGTATTAGATCCGCACGTATTACGCGTCTTCGTCATTTTGAGGTTAACCTCCTAAGAGAATCCGAATAGCAATGAAGAATAGAAATGTAAGACGATGGCTTATATATACTTACATGACACGTATATATATACACGCACGTAACCGACTGTCAGCAATGTTACTTGAAATAGGTTAATAGCAAGAGGCGCCTATGCGTACGTGCATACGTTGGTTATGTATAAGGGAAGCCTGTGTTTACCTCAAAGCTAGGCACTCAACTCGACACTATCATCTGTCAGCCACGTAAGTGCGAAAATCGGTTATCCTGCGTTTAAATAAATCGGATTTTCTCGATTTTCTCTCCCACGTATTAACTGTGTTTACGTTGGGGCTTATGTATATTAAGTTCCTTTCCTCTCGAATTTCCAGACTGCAAAACTACCGGAGCGTCTCGTCGAGCGTGCAGCTCTCCTCGAACGGCCGTTAAGAGATTCCAAAGAGATTTCCTGTTTTACCCGCAGAGTCGTTACGACTGCGCGAGATCGTCTTGTCTGTAAATTTATTCTCTCGATGTTTGTCAGCTCTCTTGGGTGCTTTACATAACGTGAGGCATCCGCTTCCGAGTTCCTTGGCGTCTCTGAACTCTACGACAGGGGATGTCAAGTAGGCATAACGATAACAGGAATCGATTGTGAGGAGACATTTTTTTTTCATTAAGAGAGGTTATGTTTAAAAAATTCGTACGGGATGTTTTATCGCTCATTGCGGGAAACTGGGGTATTTATTTGTTTTCGTCAATTAGACCGTTGCGACGTGCGCGACGTCGGGCGTCGAGAATAAACGAAAGTTTCGATTTATCGGTACGGATGTCTGATTATCGTCCGTTTGGCTTGTCTCTGGCTTCAAGCGAGAGCCGTTTACTTCGTCAAAGATTCATCTTCCCTTTAAGAGATCTCCCGCAGCTTTTCGTCTTACGTTCCACGACTCTCCTCGACCACTCGAGAACGCTTTAACCACGTCTCCCCCATACGCCGTTGCTCTAACGAACTCGCGAGGGTCCGATAATTAAGCTTAACCTCCCTCGGTCCCAAGGGTGCACAAGGGTCTGGTGGGCCACCCCTTTTGGTGCCCTTTTAAATTAAACCCGGAACAGCACCCGAAAGTGCTCCATTATTTTATAAACCACCCCCTCTGTTTGCACTTTAGTAAATACAGATGCAGCGTGGACTACAATAGCTTCTCCAGAACAATTACAACGTCCCGGCGTTGCGTGTGGTGTACTTTTTTTTTTTATTTTCTACGTACCATTATTTATCTCTTTGACCAGGCGTTTTATCTAGCACTAGTGCTCGATGTATAACAGCGATGATCGCGCGCAATAATATTTCTCACGGGCGTAATGATAGATCGATACGGTGTCGAGTGGTGGAACAAAAAAAGAAATGCAAAAAAAAAGTAAATGTAAGCCGTGAAAAAAGCAACTAATAATTCAGGAGGAATCGAGAATCAGCAATAGCTCTCGCGGTAATGTTTACGCCGGAATAATGGAAAACCAGATGGCAATCGCGTAACCGGTATTCGCATGGGACGAGGATTGTGTGTTGGCTCAGATTTAAAATGCGCGCCTGCCCGTTCGCTCACACTCCGCTCAATGAATACCAATGAACACCACGGGCCAGGTATTTTATAACGAAAGTCTATATATATATATATATATATATATATATATATATATACACACACGCACATATATATATGTCTAATTAGTGGACACAGCCGAGAGCAGATCACAAGCTGGCACAGTGGAGCAGAGCAAAGATGAAGGATGTTTCTGAGATTTCTGAGAAGCCTGAGGATGTTGAAGACGTTCGGACGAGATGTAGGTAGGCGCGATTGCCAGGTACGGATAAAAGTTTGACGCTGCTCGTACTATACTCGTACGAGGGAGAAGAGAAAAAGGTAACTGAAGAGGAAAAGAGAAATAATGTAAGAATGAAAGAAAGACGAGTAGAGTATTACCAGAAAAGGGCTTGTAGCCTGCAAGGAACCTCGCTCGCCACCACTTCACCAATCCGGTAGCCATGGGGTCCTCATGCGTAAACACGCACACTTCCCGAGTGGTCCCCCTTGTTTTTTTTTTGTTTTTCTTCACTTCCTCACTAACTCACTCACTCGCTACTCACTTTTACCCTGAGGTAGGTGAGACAGGGAAGCCTGTTAATGTTGCCGTTATTTTGTTGGGTTGTTATTGCTCTCGTTGCTCTCACGGCTCCCTCGTAATTATCGTTATTATTGGATCGCGAGCGTTTACAGGCTTATGCTCTTGTATATTTTCTCTGGCGCTCGGTTATATCGTCGTCACTTCACTACCGAACTTCAAAGGTTACGCCAGACTGGTAATGCACTACCGAGCGCTCCGGACCTTCTCCACTTCTGTATACACTTCATACACAACAGCAGGGACTAACGTCCGCGTACGTACTTTCTGCCGGCCTAATTGCATTTATGCTATTAAAAAAAAAAGTCGCGTGTTATCCTATTAAAGTTGTGTCTAGCTGTGTACAAGTTTATGCCCGATGAACGTACAGGCCCATTAATATCTTATGTTATGGTATCAAAGAGTTTTGTACTTCAGTCTTCAGGCCGAAGATTTCACTGACTTTTCTTACTTCGTTTAATGAACGTCATCCGAGGGACACTGTGGTTTCTTTATTTTTATACGTATCGGAGATCCACAATGCCACACTGTAGTTTCTTGTATTGTGGTGGCTGCTAACGTGTTTAAAAGGACCCCGATGGCGGGTATACGGAACACACTATACGCCGCCACTCGTGTCACTGCATCTACGGTCGTGGTTTGACTACCTCGAGAAATCGCCCTCGCCTAAACCACGTTCACTGTAATCCTCGTTCCCCTCCTCGTCGTTCCTTCTCCTATCGCCCCTACTACGAGTGGCGTCCCCACTTCGGAGCGACAGTACCGTAGATCGCGGGTTCACACTTGTTTGTTTAGAAGCTTCGCTTTTTCTGGGAATCTATATGAAATTTTAGAAAATTGCATTATGTAATGGTCGTACAAGAATCTGCAATATCTTTGGAAGAATATAATAATGTAGAATTACATATTTTTATTGGTCAAGTTTTGTTGTTGATGTGGTTAACGATGTGCATCCTTCGCTTTTGACGGCACTGAAAAAGAGACAGAGGCCATGTCTCTCGTACAAACGTTTTCCGCCGTAGCGTTATCTTCCTTGTGCAAGAACTCTCACGGCGAACTGACACAGAAGAAATCTCGGACACTTTATGCTCTTCTACAGCCACCCACCGTCCTACGTGTCCGGCCTCAACACATTATCGCCTGCATACGCTATAATAGAGCACATGGAATCATTGATGTTCCAACTAGCCGAAATACTTCGTGGAGCTCCTCTATCAGACTCTACGTAACATCAATTCTATGAAATGTCTACGGTCTAATATTACCAGTGAAATTTAAGTCGCACGCTTGGCCCACAAAACCGGCCATTACTTCGAGGTTAAATATCGAAGAGCATGTAAAACTAGAAATTTTATACGGATTAGTTTTCAACTATATTCGGACTGGACAGACATTTTTAAACTCAACTTACGTTCGAGACTTCCTTTCGTAATCCATTCTTGACAATCTTTGCTCCGTTTTAGCCTAATCTCCGTGTTGTTTGAAATATTGTGAAAAGCGTTTGTTCAAAGTGTATCCGCCAATTTTCCAAGAGGTAATGCTACGCGACTACAGCGACCCTATCGGCAGCTAAAGGAAACTCACAGTAGCCTAACCAAGCGCGAAAATACGAAGCGTGCTAATGACATTCCCACACGACCTTTGAGTCTACCGATCGTTCTTGTAATTCGGTAACCTCGGCGCATCCGTTAGAGGTTCAACTGGTAGTCGTCGGCGCGGAAAGCGTCGCGATTTATAATCAGGTTCCACCATCTGGCGACAAGTACGCAACAGATGCGAGATACGCCTTCCTCGCGTGTTTTGATCTCGAGCACCATTTATTTGGCCGCGCGAGAGACAAAGCGTACAAGGTGGGTACAAAATAGGGCGCTGCACCGCAGGGACTCTTTTTGGAGACTGTACCCGCACGCTATTATCTCCTAGCGGTGTTTCAGAAGAAACATAGGCGTCACCATCAACCACGCGAGGATGAATGAACCGAGACCTTACCACTTATATGGTCTTACACAACATATCCAAGGGATACGTGCAGCAACACTCGAGTGTATTTACGCGTAACAGAAAGGGTTAACTTTTTGAAAGAAACAACAGTGTACACCCTTGTGTACATACTCCGTTACAAAATGCGCAAGCTAATTTTATAAATTTTATAAAAGATATCTCTTATACAAATTCCTATTAAATTCTTAAAGAAACCGTCACCGAAATACCTGTAATTGACCATGAGGAAAGTTGTAAAAAAAAAAAAACTTTTATCACACGTCCTATAAAGTGTAGTAACTGATAATACGAAAATGATGAAATTCGTATAAAAACGTATTAACCAAATCCACAATCCTCTCTTATTTTTAAGGTTATGTATGACTACTGCGTACATTTTTCTTCTCTCGATGAAGAATACTAATAAAAACTACAAAATTTCTCGTTTCGAGTAAGACCCTGTATTACCGAGGTGGGTCCATGGTGTCTATAGGGCCCTAAGGGATTACGCCAATGGTTCGGTAAGTGCCCCTTGCTCTCCCAGCACAGGCATGCTCTACCCGCCATGCCGT